TATACTATCTAATATACTATAGGAATAGCTGTCTGTACTGTCTGTTTGTCTGTCTGTCTGTCTGTTTGTTCTGGGCAGCCGAAACGGCACAATCGTTTTTCATCAAACTTGGTGGATAAATCGCAAAAAAATTCGTAGAGTGAAACAAACATGGTCCCATGTCGATGGTTTCTTTAGGAAGGCATTAATTAACCATTTTATTTACGATGGAAAAAAATGCAAGTTTACGGACTTGGCGCACCCTCATTCGCTGTACGCTGTCACGAGCATTCAAACTTTCACAAGGGCACGAAGGGCCCGCGATCACTGTGTGAATTTCTATGTTCTAAAAGACAGACAAAAAATTACTGTAGGCTAATTTTTCATTTCTATTCTTTAAATTCCAATACTTTGTTCACTAACTTATTCCATCCTAACATCGGCGGTATAATTTATCATCAATATCTTCATAATTTGTTCTTGGTATTTTCATTATAATTTATACTTCACAATCTCTTAGTAACCCGTTAAGAAAAAAATATGATTATTATAACTTATATTTTTCATTGACAATTATGTTCCTGCACTACACTGGGCTATACACTTCCCACGGTATATCGACGTGTTAGAGTGTCTGACCTCACACACCGCTGAGAGCCGCTGGGTAACACTACACTAATACTTTTCGTTATAAAGACAAATCATAATAACGATAATAAGACGTAATACAGACAAAAAATAGAACAGAACCCGGAAATACCAAATGGTGAGTTAGAATCATTGCCAGAGGTCACTTGAGGTAGGGCAGTAAGTCCACGGTGCGGTGGTTGACGGTACACAGAACTCGCCTGTCTTAAAAGAGTCGGTGGTTCGATTCCGGGGTATTCCCAGTCCACCGAGCTGTAAGTAGGTTTTGTAAATTTCGCAAATTTCGCAGATTTGAGAGTTTTAAAGAATAGATATTCCCTATTTCTCATACGAGGCGACTGAAAAGGATGGGGGTTAGGTTAGGTTAGGCTTTCAAGTGAGGTCAGTTCAGGTTAGGTTAGGTTAAGTTAGGTTAGGTTAGGCGAGGGGATCGTGTCTCATAATGGTACTAATATCAGTTCAAACACAAAATCCCATCATACGACTTTCCGCTAGATATAGTTTTATCACTGTGAATGGGTGAACAGGATAACAGTGCAATGTCTTTTACGCCATTCATTATCCTGTCAGTGTTAGTGGTGCCCTCCAGCTGATGACGACTTGACCTGAATTTCATAAGGATTTTGTCTGTCCTCCCCTGCACCGTGAATTACCACCACTCGAATAAGATGGCAATACCCACAAGCTAGCCAAGTCGTCTTTCTATTTATTTATGTTGTGGAGGCCAGAATAATGTTAGCTTCTAAAATAACCCTAAACAATACGAGTAGAATAACTGATAATAGCTATATAGGAACTTAACCTCGAAGGGACGAGCACAAGGTTTAGTTGCAGACAAGCATAAACAAAGTGGACTCACAACTGATTTAAGTCATTGAATATATTTCGCTACATATATTACATTAAGAGTATTGGTGATTCAAGTGTTGGTGGAGAAGACCTAATACATAAGTGGCAGAAAAAAGAAAGGGGTAAGGTCCAGAGTGAGAGTTGTGAACCCTTGGAACAATCTACCAGAGAGTGTTGTGATGGCACCGAGTGTGAGCTCATTCAAGGCCAGACTTGACCAACACTGGAACAGGTTCAGATATATCCAGGAGCCGGTGCATGCCCAGTAGTTGCCAACAGTGCGTAATAGAGACATGACCGACCACCCAAGCGTCTAAGGAGCCGATCAGTGGCGACGAGGATAAAAGTAAAAAGTAAAAGAGTCATACCATCTGCTGGTCACTTGCCAAAGATGCTCTGGTCGGCTGAACTCACCCCACACTTTTTCCTACTTTATATATCACTTCCTTATTTCTTCTTCCTTGTTCTTCCCATTATATTATGATATTTTATAATTCTCTTTTATCATTTCATCCATAGATACAGAATATTATTGTAGATAATTATAACATATTCTTCTTTCCTGCAGTCAGTCAATTACATCCTGGCTGGTAAACGCTCTCTAGCCACACTATACGGAAGACAAAAGGCGATCGCACTTTTACTTTTTACACACGATTCATGTCACAGATACATTAACTATGCCTTCAGCGTCTTGTAGTTATTACCTGAGAAGATTGTGTGTGTGTGTGTGTGTGTGTGTGTGTGCGAGGCTTGGCTTAGCTGTAAACAATAGTGTGTGTGTGTTGTTTACTGAGGAATTCTGTAACAAGAGGCTATTATGAGCTATTAGTGTCTCTCTCTCTCTCTCTCTCTCTCTCTCTCTCTGTTCTTCATTTTTTCTTTATTTTCGAGTCGGTTTTTCTCTTTGCCTATTTATCTATTTATTTTTATTAGTCTAATTTGTTTATCTATCTGAGAGAGAGAGAGAGAGAGAGAGCCAACAATATGAATCTCCACACTCACCGCCACAAGACGCCCATCACGGCACCACTAGACTGTCATGCCGTAATAATGGGAAACAATATCGTTAACAGTCTTCAGTCAACTCTTATATGTGTTGAAATATTATTAATGTTCTTTTTTAGGGTTATTGTTCTCCCCCGTTACCTCCATTACTTTATTTGTCTGCCTCTGTGTGTGTGTGTGTGTGTGTGTCTGCAATATTATTTTTTATGATAGTTAAGTCAGACTAACGTTCGGTGATTATTTACTTTGTATTGTGAGAAGAAAGAGGAAAAATAAAAAAATATATACGTTCTGATTCATCATAATATATCAAGAAAAAGGCTGTATGACCTTGTACTCTTCCTAATGGGTTTGTGAACTGAGGTGGAAAGAAAAATGTGAGAGTATCCCCCCCACCCCCCTCCCCAGGCCTCGCTCTCTCTTCTACTGTTTCTGTGACGAACAAAGAAAACGTAACATTCCTCCAGCTCTTGTGTATTTTAATCAATTTATATATTTACTCTTTTATATATGAATTCAAGAACTGCATAAATTAAAATTACGTAGATTTTCTAAGTGAGGAAAAGTAACCTAAGTTCGTTGTTCTTGGTTATATTAAAAGAATTGTTAGAGAAATAGTGATTTGTTGGTCATCCTGGAAAGAAATTAATCTCTGCGGTAAAGGAGGTTTATATTCGGTAAACGTTTGTCTGTGTGTCTATCATGTATGTGAATGTGTGAAATTGTATGTGTGTATGTTTGTATGTGCGTATGTGGATGCTTATGTCTGTGTCTGTTCTGTTCCTAGGCCACCTACCAGTCTGCCTGTCCATTCCTGTCTAACTCCTCTCTTTTTCATTCTGTCTGTCGTCTCGTCTGCCTGTATGTTCAGTTCATAGCCCGCTTCCATGTCTACTTGCCTGTCTGTTTATCTGTCTTTCTGTCTGCCTGTCTGCTTGCCTGTCTGTTTATCTGTCTTTCTGTCTGCTTGCCTGTCTGCTTGTCTGTCTTTCTGTCTGCCTGTCTGCTTGCCTGTCCCTCTCTCTTGCCTGTGTGGCTGGCCGTGTGGTCACCAAAATACAGCGAATTACTACGGACCCACAACACTCTCTCCCTCTCTCTCATCCGGAAGTCGAGCGGAAGTGAGTGGCCAGCGGTTAGGTCTGGTCACGCCTCAAACTGAAGGAAGTCTGAGAAAGTTGAAAGAAATTGAAAGAAGTTTGAGAAAGTTAATGATGGAATTGATTGAAGTTTAGTAGACTGGTGGGAAGTGATGTAAACAAATAAATGTAAATGAAGACAATAATTTATCGGGATAACTAAAGAAAAAAATCACACGGATGATAATTTTTTTCTCCAAGTGATCAAAATAAATTGGTGCTGTATTAGTTTATTTTAATTTATATAGTTCGGGCTCAATGTAGGTAATATAACACACACACACACACACACACACACACACACACACACACACACACCCTCTCTTTCTCTCACAAGAACGATAACAAGACGCATGATATTACCTGTCTACCATCTGCCTCTCGTCCAGGTAACTCCCCCACCTTGTACTCTTCAATATTAACCTGTCACACCTTCCTCCCTCCATCAGGTCCTATAGCAATTAACCTGCCATACCCTGTACCACTTCGACAGTGTTACGCCGTCTCTTAATTTACTTAAATATCCAGGTTGTAGGCGTAACCAAACAAAAAAAGTGAAGTAAATTAAAAGGAAATAAAAATAAATAAAGTAAACCTTTAAGATTTTAGTTAATTAAATATTAACGCAATAAAGAGCCTCGTAGGCTGTCACAACAAATTGATTCACCATCGAAACTTTTAAGACACAAATGATACTAAACATCGAAACATCAAAAGAATAAAAATAAAGCATTAGATTACGTTAACACTGCATAAACATATAAAAACTAACACTGAAATTAACTAACGTGAAACAACACTGAATTACTTAAATGTAACGAAGCAAATACTGATGGACATAAATAAGACATAAATAGGTACTCACATAGATATACCACATTGGTGGCGACAGGAACAACACTGATAAATTAAGTATAAGTCACAGGCGACGAGTGTCACTCAAAGGATGCGAACTGTGTGACAAGAAGACTGAACTAACTCCGTCAGTTGGTGGGTCCTCTATATAAGGTCGGTTCCCGCCACGCGACCCGCCGGTGGGTCGTTTAACGATGCAGATGGTCGTTAGAGAACAAAGAATGCTGGTTACAATACAAAATGGGTTTGAACAAATAATAACAGTTAAAACCTTAACAGCACAGGGTTAAGGTGACTAGATTATATAATAGTAAATACAACACATCATTACAGGAATAATATGGAACATGGAAGCATGTTATATAACAAAAAAATAGAAAAATACGACACGGTAGTAACAACAGGTACTATAATAATTAACCTGCCTCACCTTTTACCCCTCCCTAATTAACCATCCGCCCCTCTTTCAGTTAAAACACTCCTTACCTTGTACTACCTCTAAGACCGTCCTCACTCCTCCAGGTACCTTCAGGACTATGAGCAGGTGTCAGCAGAGGGACCCGCTACTGATGAAGTGATGATGGAGAGGTTGGCAGGTAACCCAGTCCACGCCTTCCACCTGATGAAGAGGATTACTGTCGATTGGAGGCACATTGAGGACCAAGCTAAGGTGGATCATTGGAGAGGTGAGAGAAGGCAGGTGGGGTGAGGGAGGGAGGGATGAGAGAAACAGAGAGAGAGACAGAGAACGTGAGAGAGAGAGAGAGAGAGAGAGTAATTACGACCATTACAAATCTAATCATAACATGTCTTACTACTCTACCTACCTCATTCTCATAGTTATTATCCTTTTCTTCAATAATATCTAGTTTACGTTCCTCTATACACGTTCCCAGGTCACGTTCATCACCAGGTCCTTTTTTTTTCCCCACTCATTCTAGGCGTGGAGGAGGCCATGAGAAACGTGGGCGTGGGCGTGAAGCTACCACGGGAGGAGGACCTACACGGGGCAGCCCAGGCCCTAATAAGACTCCACGATGTATATAACCTGAACATGACCCAGCTAGTGAGGGGGAATGTGTGGGGGGTGGAGAGTACTGCAGGTGAGAGAGGGGGGAGAGGGGTAGGGTGAGGGAAGAGGAGGAGAGGGGTTGGGGGAAAGGGGGAGTAGGGGGGTGGTAGGGGAGAGGGGGAAGGGTGGTAGAAGAGAGGGGAGAGGAGAAGGAGGGTGGTGTGGGACGAAGGGAGATTGAAAGGGTTGGGGAGAGGGGGGTGGTGAGGGAGAAAGGGAATGTGAGGGGTGAAAGAGAGTGAAAAAGATTAAGGGGGAGAGAACAAAAAAGAGAAAGAGGAGAGTGAGAGAGAAGAATGCCTACTTAAACCCATCCCCACCCACTCCAAACCATCCCAACCCATTCCCATCACACCCCATCCTACTCCAACCCATCCCAACCCATCCCCACCATAACCCATCCTCCTCCAACCCATCCCCAAGCTACGCCAATCTTTTACATTCCCCCATTAATGCCCAATTTGTCTCCCCGTGAACAGAGATGACGTCCCAGGATTGCCTCTTCATGGGGAAACACTCGTTCAACTTGGGCCTGTACCCTCGAGCCATCCAGTGGTTTGAGGAGGCCTACACTCTGGCCGGTGAGGAGAGTAACACGACAGTAACTCAGGAACAAGTGAATATGTTCCTTAACACCGCTATCAAGGCTGTGAGTATTGGGAGTGGTGAGAGAGGGAGAGAGAGTGAGATAAGGGAGAGAGAGAAAGGGAGAGGGAGTGAAAGAGATGATAGAGAGGGGAGAGACAGAGAGAGAGAGAGAGTGTGTGTGTGTGTGTGTGTGTGGTGACAGTGAAAACAGGAGAGATTAATCCCCCTAAACTATCTGCTTCTCAGTCAAACATGAATCACCCCCAACTTTCATCTCTAAATAATTATTCATCCCACTTGTTTCCTCTCCATTCCTCCCCCCATCCTCATTTTCCATTAAATCTTTAATTTCTCCACAGTATGATGAGAACATAGCCAGTCAGGTCGACAATGAGGAAGAGGAAGTACACAAGGAAGACTTCAGCGCTTCCTTACGAGATGATCACAACAAGAAGAAAAACGAAAAGGTGCCAAAATATCGCCTTGGGGTAGACTTGACGCCACCAGAAGATGCAGCCAATTTCCAAGCTCTGTGTCGTGGGGAGCAGCTATTGGTGGGTCATATTCACGTCAAGGTCAAAGACGGTCAGGATTTGTATACTTCTAGTGCTGTTTATATCATTTCATTAACTCAGAGGGGAAATAATCTACACTACCTCTGTGCTAATTTTGTATTTAGATAATTAACCTATAATTATCATGTCAGGTCAAAAATTAACATAATTTATATTTCATCATTGTAGCTGTTGTATTTTACTGTCAATGTGTATTTTTGTTTACATATATTTACTATTGTCTTTGTCTATGAGTTGAATATGTTGTAAATCCATACCTTTATTTACTGAGGGATTGATTACAACTACTTTACCTGTGTGTTTATGTGTCCTTGTTTCTCCTATTTTGTTTATGTATGGTAATTATCTCTCAGGTAAAGAGTATATTTATTAAGTATCTCTCTCACTGATACACTTTTACCCCCTTAGAGAGACCAATAACACACCTCCATCCCCATAAAACGACCCCTAACATCTCATCTCTCACCCCCATAGAATGAGTCGTATCAGGCCACCTTATCCTGCTTCTATGACTCCCGAGATGACCATTACCTGAAGCTGATGCCCGTCAAGGTAGAGAGACATCACTGGCACCCGGAGCTCCTGACCTTCCACGACGTGCTTACGGACAACGAGATCGCCCTCATCAAGCTGCTAGCCCAACCCGTGGTGAGGAAGAGGAGGAGGAGAGGGAGGTAGAAGAAGGATGGGATGGGGGGGGGGCGAGGAGGGGATAATGGATGGAGGGGGAGATGGGGAAGATCGTAGGAGGAGGTGGGAGGAAGAAGGTGGTAGAGATAGGAGAAGAGGATGTTGGTGGGGTGAGTAAGGAGGCAGAGGAAGAAGATGTCTTAGGAAGAGAGATGAAAGAAGAAGGAAGAGGAAGAAGTGGAGGAGGAGACAGAGATTAATAGTTCATTATCAATATGTCATAAATTATGTTTCTGAGTTACCATCTTTATCAAAACATGTTAACAAATTAATAGATTCGTTTAATATTCTATTGCGTAATTTCCCCCTACAGTTGGCCAGAGCGATGGTACAGGGAGCCCAAGGTAAAGGAAACACCATCAGCAATACGCGCACCTCCAAGGTATATATAGTAAATTTTAAATGAGTTACTCCTTTATAATTTAGAAAAGTTGCGTTTTTCTTTAGTATTTTATTGTACGTTTTCTTTTAATTTATGCGAGTACTACAGTAGTTAATAGGGAAAGTGAGCTGTGATAAAGTGGTCCAATGATCCAGAGATACTTCCTTAATCTCTAAATAAAATATGACACAGCGTAATAATACCTTTCACCCAACAACCTCGATGTGTATAACAAAGTAGTACTGTATCCCCATCAGGTTGGTTGGCTGGACGACTCGGTACACCCCCTCGTGGCTAAAATTGGTGACCGCATCCAGCGTATCTCCAAGCTCTCTACTAATATGGCCTCTGAAGACGCTGAGCTCCTGCAGGTGGCTAACTACGGCATTGGTGGCCACTACAATCCTCACCATGACTACCTGCTGGTGGACAAGACGGAGAAGGAGGTAAATACAGTGAGAGAGAAAGGAAGAGAGGTCGGAGATAATGGGTGATGTGTATTGAAAGATATCGTAGTTTAAACTGAATTATAAACTCCATGACATCTCTCCACAGGTGTACTAATTAACTATTGACACCTGTTTTCTCACCTGTCCACAGCTGCTACACAACATACATCCCCGGGAGCTGGTGATGGGTGACCGTATAGCCACCTTTATGTTTTATGTAAGTATATCTTTGGTATAACCTTAATGTATATACCTCAGTTAATATATACTGATACACCTTTAATAACAAGACCAATAATAAAAACATAAAAATAAACAAAGAAAAATAAGAGTGAGGCACAAACACATCTGATTATAATACCCTCCTTCCTTCCTGCCCTCCTCTCAGCTGAGTGATGTGACCAGGGGAGGTGCCACGGCTTTCCCTCGGCTTGGCACGGCTGTTTGGCCTAGCAAGGGGTCAGCAGCCTTCTGGTTTAACTTAAAGAAATCTGGACATGCCGACATAGCCACTCTTCACGGTGCATGTCCGGTGGTTCATGGCTCCAAGTGGGGTATGTATGTATGTATGTATGTATGAATGTATGCATGTATGTATGTATGTATGTATGTATGTATGTATGTATGTAGAGTATGTATGTATGTATGTATGTATGTATGTAACACTCCTCAATGTCACTTTATAAATGAAAGAGAGAGGGGTTCTCATCACTACTATCTCTCTATCTCAGTAAGCAACAAGTGGATCAGAGAGCGAGGACAATTCTTGAGGAGGAAATGTGGAATGTGCCCGGACGAATAGTGGAGGACGTCAAAAAGGCTTCCGTCCATCTACGTCTAAAAGGCTTCCGTCCATCTACGTCTAAAAGGCTTCCGTCCATCTACGTCTAAAAGGCTTCCGTCCATCTACGTCTAAAAGGCTTCCGTCCACCTACGTCTAAAAGGCTTCCGCGTCCAGCTACGACTAAAAGGCTTCCGTCCATCTACGTCTAAAAGGCTTCCGTCCACCTACGTCTAAAAGGCTTCCGTCCATATACGTCTAAAAGTATCCAATGAAATACCTACAGTCCACTGGGGTCAACTAATCCAATCAGTATGGTTAGCGTGGATTAGGGAGTATTAAGGGATTAGGTATATATATTTGAACTCTTGAAGTGATTAGATGTTTACATAAAATGATTAGAAGATTGTAATTCACGTAAGATGACAGATTAGGACGTTACCCTGTATTATTAGCCCATGACTATACACGTGAAAGTATACACAAACCCATGACTGCATACCGATGAATGTTTACCTGACCCATGACTGCATACCGATGAATGTTTACCTGACCCATGAATGAATACCTAAATGTTTACCTGACCCATTAATGAATACTTATTAATGTGTACCTGACCCATGACTGCATACCGATGAATGTTTACCTGACCCATGACTATAATTATGCATGTATACACCCATGACTAACCCATGACAGCATACAGACTCTTTGTAAATATACCAAGTAACTCTGTATTAGGTAGATATACATCAATCTATCTTGTATGATCCTGTATGTATATTTTTCTTGCCTGTATATTAAGTATCTTTATGTATTTCAGTATTTTCAATGATTTTCTCACTTACATTAATACCATAGATACTTAAGGTGTGTGTGTGTGTGTGTGTGTGCGCGCGATGTAAGCAGCAGATGTAATATTTTAAACAGTTTCTCTGAAGTAGCAAAACTAATCACCATTGAGAAATAAGAATTACATTGGTATAATTTGGTAATAATGATAACCTGTATAATAATTCGTATAATCAGGTCTATGTAGTGTGATATAATCGACCAGTAATTGTGTGTTTCTCTATAATCTTATCACATAATTGTATATAATCAGGTGTTTATAAAACCGTATACTATAATAATTATAATTTGTCCCTTGCGAATTACTAAGATCTTTACTCAATACTTAACAATGACCCTTTTAGTTATAGATCAAGCTATAACTATCGTACCGAATATAACAAATGTATATAATCTGCTATAACCTGCGGAAAATTATCTTTATTACAATCACATTATATATCTTAACCTATTAAGTTATATCTAGTATAATCTCTTGATATACTGTAACTTAACCTATAATATCTCCGTCTATTATCACACCTGTGTATAATTTAGCTATGATAGTGATAATTATACTAAAACAATAAATACCATGACTTTGTGGTGTTGTTGTTGTGGCCCTCTGGTGGACTAAATGAAAACTAAACAAAATAACCTCTTCTCTTTTGTTTTACTTTTTGTTTGATCCGAATTAAGTTTATTTTCTTCGATTCAAGTTCTCTATATTTTCTTACTTAAATTGTAATGTACCGATGATATGTGTTCTATAATTCAGTCAGGGATCCTTGGTATAATGGTGTTGATTATTATAGGTCTTTGTATATCGTAGGTGACTGTGTGTATAATCTGGTCTCAAATTATCGGTATTAATTATAGCTATTAGGATTATGTGATCTATTGTATATCTCTATAAGTGTGTAGAATCTGGTCTCTATAACTTATAATTATTAAATAAATCTCCTTGATTTTTGTGGCACTAAATACGTATAATCTTGCTTAAGTGTCTTGGAATTATCAATCTATAATACTTAATACTATATTATGTAAAATCACCATACTTACAACCTCGTAATAATAATGCTATAATTCTCGATAATTTCTAGACTTTAAACGTGTATAATCACCTCTAAACACACGAATATAATCAGTACTAAATTACCCACAACTTCAACTACCTTATCAATATGTCCAAAAGCTTTCTATAATCTCTATCACAAATACCTCTGCTTCCTTCTTCTTTCTTCTGGTGTAAATAACGTGTTAAAAAATATTGAATGATTAAGTATCTTTTTTTTTTAAGGATAGGTTTGACAGATGTGATATTATTGATTAAAATAAAACACCTTTTTGTTTGTTTGTTTTAGTTTTAACCTACAAACGCATACATATTTACATACATATTTTGGGTTCAATAAGAATATTCGCCACATGAGGTTTAAAAGACTAATTTGGGTTTTTGTTTTTTTACCAAATTGGGATAACTTTCTGTTTTTATTGTTACGAGTTCATAGATATTAAGTCATATCTTAAAATTTGCTTTACTTTGTTTCTTATATATTCTTATTTTATGTGGTTTGTATTAATATTATTATTCATTATGTTAGACTCCATTTATGACACGTGAGGCAGCTGCTCCCCCTCTGCCGCTATCGGTCAGGAAAAGTTGTTTGTGTTAGCTAGTTACAGTTTCATTCCACCAATCAGAAGCCAGAATACCAGCTGGGACTGACTATAACCAATCATATTGCTTCTGCTGTGAGATTACCCAGAATGCCGCATGTCTGGGGATTTTTACAAGTTTTTCTCTCTGTGATATCAGGACTAACTGTTCCTCTCCGAAGCTGCTGTTGTGTCTACAGTAAGTGTATCATTGACGTGAGTACCACTAAGTGTTCGAGGGGGAAAAGATTAGCAGGTATGTGGTATTCTCTTTATTATTGCCAACGTAATTTTTGACTAGTACGTGTTAACATGATTCACCTTATATCGTGTGTAGATGTTACCTTGGTTATCACATCTCACCATTATGTTTCTTATCTAGAAATTAACCCATTTATTCATAACAAAGTGACAGACACTGTTAATCAATTCTCCATTAGTTAATTAAACAGGTTGCTCGTTAAAACATCTTTATTTTACAAATGTGGACAATAATATGTTGGGTTAAGTTAGGTTAAACAGACAATATCAACAACAAATTAGCATAAACTGATGTACAATTTTTACTCCTGTAGTTTCTTGTATACTAATTTGTACAAACTTTAAACTGATATAAAAAAATTATATAAGCAGCATCCTAATATTTTAAATATGGTTTTAACCGCAATTGATATACTGTATACGGTAATAATATTATACTGTCTGTATATATATTTTCCTGAGGTCTTTATATTCACCTGGAAACGAAATATGAAATTATATAAAACAATATCACGGTCGAATTTAATACATTAGCGTTTTGCTTACTTTTACAAACGCCTGTTAAGAAATGATTCTCCAAGTGAGCGCCAAGTGTGAATAATTTTCCAGTCCAGTCAAGACCAGTCCTAACGTATAGACCCGAGTACCCAGCGTCTCGTTACTTGTATCTCTCAGAATCCTCCTAAAATATTATGAGCGCATTCAACAACTCCACCTTCTCCATCATTACATAGAAACAATAGAAAAATTTCCCCGACATATAAGCTCATTTTAAATAACTCTTAAGTTCGTTTATCGTGCAAAATGAGTTTCAGGGTTCATAGTTTAGGTAATAACTTGTCTTCATAACACAATTGGGATGCTTTAACTATATTATTTGCATGATAACTTGGCCCATAAGCCACGCCCCTCTTCTCTACTAATAGCTGATTCATTCATACAAAATCCAAACTAAATGTGATGACAATTAATAAGCAGACTTGTTATTATCTACAAATGATGTTAAATGTTGGGATTATTAAAATGCAAATGATTTCAAGGCATTAGCACTTCAGAGAGCATGTTAGAACGTTTTAAATATTTATTACAAAAGGTCGATATAAACGCGCAGTCGGGGGAGGTAAAACGCTCAGGGGGACCACTCAGCCATTTGTAGCTATAGACGAGGGGCGGGGCTTACAGGCCAGGTTAGTGTGGACAGGGTATAATCTTAGTTACTATAAACATCTTCCTCCTCTAATAAGTCCTTTATTTTTGTTTATATTCGCTTTTCTTCCCTTTCTTCCTTAACTGACACTCCCTCACAGTTCTTCAGCCCTTAGCACGGGTCAGCGGAACTTGGCTAGGAGGGCCGTCAAGTCACCCAGATCCGCCTCGGCTTGTAAGGCCAGCTGGTACTCGTCTTGCAGGGGTGACTCACGTAACAGGATGGTGCTCGCCTCCTGCAAGCACTCCACGCACTCCTGTGGGGACGAGGGGGTGTAAAAAGGAGGATGGATAGATAGATTGATAGATATATAAATAGACAGATGGATAGATAGATCGATAGATGGATAGATAGACAGATAGACGGATAGACAAATATATATTGATTTTTTTTTTGCAGGATTAGCTCACCCTGGCACAGGTCAATGACCCACATCAGGGCCTGGGGGGCGAAAACATTATAATAATAATAATAATAATAATAATAATAATAATAATAATAATAATAATAATAATAATAATAATAATAATAATAATAATAAATATAAAATTTAAAAAATCAATAGTGAGAAACAATATATATATGTTGTGTTGTCAAAATAAGAGAAACAATTGAGACCCTGCAATTGTGTGTAAATGAGGCAGAAAGTCAGATCAGCAACCTGTGACCTGGTCACAATTTATGCGATGCCATATGGCAGCAGGGTCAACCATCAGACAACACATTATGCTTCCAATATCTTCCCAGGCGGTAATACCTCCCTGTTTGATAGCTGCCTACTACCTACAAAATTATTATAAATAGGTAAACACAAACATTAAAACTATATAAACAACCATTAGACATATGGGTCAATAGATTTAAATATAGTTAAATAAATAACTAGATATTAATACTATAATTTCTTCGACAACCATAAGACAACTAACAACAACAGCCAACAACTTGCCTTTCGTTCACACACTGTAAGGACGAGCACCTACCTGAAGAAGTGCCTTAGCCTGTGGGGAGGACTTCAGTTTCTTAGGCAGTCGGCGGTACTTTTCTCTACAGGCTGCCTGGAGCTCGTATTTCAGTAGTCCTCGCAGCCTCGTCTCTCCTGGAGCAGTAAACACCCTTCAGTCAACAAGGTACACTAGTTCAGTACCTACAGGGTGTCCCGAAAGTTATTTCGTTTACCTATATAATGCTGAGACATGGATATGTGGAGTAAATTTTGGGAGCACCCTGTATAGCACCAGAGTATTATTTTTTGGACACCCTGTATAGCACCAGTGTTAAATAAGGGTTAAAGGAACAGATTTAAGAGGGAAAGATCAGCCTTGACTCACCCGGGCTAAATATATCAGCAAGGGCGAGGACCTCACGAGAGAGAGACCCCTTCCTCTCTAACTGGTCCTTAGAGAGCTCCTGAAGGTCGCCCTGGTGATGCTCCCCACCGCCCCGACCATACATCTGCGCCATGGCCAGCTTCACGTCGCTCCTGTAGTAGTGGTTCTCACTTAATTTCGAGCACGTCGCCTTCAGGAATGACTCGGAGGCAGCGAGAGAACCTTCCTTAAGACTGACGAGTTTCTCTCCCGTCTGCTTCAAGAACTCCTCTACTCGCTCTACGTCGAGACTTGCTGAGCAGGAGTTACAGAGCCAGACCTCAGGTGTGAGGGGCGAGGGTGAGGGCAGCACCAGCCCTGAGGGACACTGGCCGCAACGGAGGCTGCTCAGGTGTGTACCCAGTTCAGTTGGGTCTTGACACCTGCCGCAGGTACACTTGAAATATTTACTCGTCTTCAGGTGCAACTGTCTGTTCGCCGTCCCCCACATCGGGTCGGTGTACGAGGTAGAGATGTGGCTGCCCTTCGGGATTTTCACCGCCGCCCTCACGATGATGTTCAGCTGGGAGTCGAAGGTCCTTGTAGTGTTGGGGATACAGGCGTGCTCCAGGAGACACGCCTTGCCGTAAACACCAATAGCATTTGGTCCTGGAATTTCAAAGCCGTTCACCTCGATGATGCCACACACTGTCTGTATCTCCTCTGGTGTGTATGACGTCACCTTCAGGTACTGCTTCGAGAAGTCGACGACGTTAGCTTGGATGACTTCATACACGTCGGTGTTGACTCGCTCCTGCAGGTGGGATTCCATCTGGGTGAGTGTTGACCACTTGGCGGGGTCCTGCTCCTTCAGCCAGAGGCAGCGGAGAGGCGTAATACACTCGTACATCTGATTCACCTGCATGAATTTCTGCACCTGAACCTTAACTGGCCTGACAAGGGTACACAATGAAGACGTCTCATTAGAACTGTTGTAGCTCAGAACGAACATATAAACACTCACTTGTAATACAACATAAAAACTTATCTAATCTAACCGACCAACTCAAGAAGGGACAAGACTCAAAACGGGAGTTAAAGCACCACTGACCTATTCCTCGACAGCTGACACTCGGGATAGTGGAGGACGACCTTCTGGCACTCAGGACCACACAAGGGCCAGCCACAGAGAGTGCAAGAGTAAGAGCCATTGACGGGCGTGAAGCAACCTAAACACACTGGCACTGTCACCTATATGAGGCCAAGAAGGTGGATTAGTGGAGGTCCATGGTCGCCAACCCTCAGACTCGTGAGTATGTGATTTTTTTTTATTTTCTGATATATATATATATATATATATATATATATATATATATATATATATATATATATATATATATATATATATATATATATATATATATATATATAGGCCTATATATATATATATACTGTATATGCAAGTAAATCACTGTATTTTTTTTTAACATTAATATAATCACCACCCTACACGGCAAGTTCAAGAACAATAATAACTACGAATAATATAAATAATTGGTGTAGTAACTGAACGAGTAATATTGGATAAACACACTTGTAACTACGGTATATATAAGAAAATGGGTAATTGGTTTAAGAGCGTCATCACCATAGAAAACGGTAACGTAAGGAGGAGGGACTTACCTGACGCGGACCTAAGACTAGCGGGGAGTCCTTGAGAATCAATTCCCCAGGTAGGATGTCTCGGGACGCCTCCAGGTACCGTCCTAGTTCCTCTGACTGGCACACCCTAGGCAGGTGGAGGAGAAACAGAGACCATATTAGGAGTGTCTAGGATATTATGGATAACCTATTTTCAACAAACACTTTAAGGTTATCTTTATCAGGATATCGCGTTATGACCAAATACCTCCAGGATATAAAGAAAATATCCACCAATTACCAAAATCTCCAAGCTATTATGAAATATCTACATTGTTGCGAGAAATATCCAAGTTATGACGAAATACTTCCAGCGATAACCAAATAAAACCAAGTATGTTAGTTGCACCACGTTGGGTCTGGTTATTGGGTGACCTCCTGCACCACCAGACGCTACTGGCAACAAGTATCACATGGCTTTGTCAGTTGTCCCTGGTCAAATTGGCTGAATATCCATTATTATTAAGAGGCGGTAATGAGAAAAACAGAGCTCAGCCAGAAGTGTGTCACCTGTAAGGACTACACAGCGAGCGGTGGGTCTTCCAGTGCTGTCTCTGGTGGTCTTTGCTGCAGTATGCTGTGAGGTGGCACTTGGCACAGCGCTGGCTGGCCGGGCTCCCACACACAGCACAAGACGGAGCCGTCATCCTGCTGGGGGAAAAAATGGGAATCTAACACAAACGTAAACATTGATGCGGGTTCTCCTCTCAACCGCAGTAAACATTGACGCGGGTTCTCCTCTCAACCGCAGTAAACATTGACGTGGGTTTTATCTCCATGCCACAGCAATAACAACATTGTCGTGTTTCATTTCTGCCACAGCAACACAACACGACACTGATGTAATCTTCCACCTACCTATACCACAGCAACAAAAAAATTAACATACCAGGCTTACTCTTGCCACAACACAAACACTAACTTCCTGTTACCGCACCAACACAAGTTCTTTTAAATTACTGATATAGGTCCAGCGTCGCTTCCGGGTCCACCAACATTATATATACCGTACAGTACTGATTGGTGGAGCTCACGAATTTCAGATTAACTTTATACTGTTGACATCAGCTTGAATGTTTATTGTTCCTATGGTAATTGATTGCACAAACAGGACGAAGGCAGCTTTAGAAATCACATCCATAACAAACAGCAACATTCAGTTAAGGCGACACACTGACTGAGGAATATTGCTAAGGCGAATTATTCTTACCTAACCTGAACCTATCATTACCCAGCCTAACCTGACCTGACCTGACCTAATCTGACCTGACCTAACATTACCCAGTCTGACCTAAGCTAATCCAACCTAACCAAATCTAACATTACTTAATCTAACTCGAATCAAGTATTACTCTCATCTACCCCAACAGGTTAGTGACAGGTTAATATTGGGGCTAACTTTATATTCTTTCAGGGTTACGTAATCGAGATACAGTATTTATCTATTTCTCTCTCACGACGTGTGTCTATCAGTAGTGTAGAATAATGCTGAGAGCCACTGGAGTAATAACTAACCTGTGTGTGTGTGTCAGTTCTCGTGGTCAGCAACACAAGATGGCTGGCCGGGCGCCTCTCACACACCCTCCCTGACGTGCGCCAAAATAGAACTGGCAAGGCGCGTGTGTGTTGGTCGCTTCTCTTCTCTTTCTTTAACTAGTTAACTATGTAAATGTTAACATAGTGAGAATAACTAGATATTTTACCTTTATTCATTTTCCAAAGCCTTTAGCCGTTGCATGAAAATAATAAACTCGTATTTGACATTCACTTAATAATCCAACCCGGACTTCTACCGAAAAAAGAAGATAAAATTCGACCTATCATAGTACAGTAATTCATATATGAATTATCTGTTATTATTAATATAATAATTTATTGGTTGTGTCTTTGTAAAATTGTTGTTGGTAGTGCTTTTGCAAGTACTGTAGATGGCATAGCCTATTTATGGCTATTGTACAGTATGGTGGTAAGGAACAAAGTAATATTTCTCCAGTGTGTATTATTTTCTTTATATACTGAATATCCAATTAAAAAAGAAAACGTCTACACGAAAACTTCTAAAACTTAGCATTTGGGGGCAAATGTAATGGTTGTTTATAGGAAGGCTCCTTAATGCTTAGTGCAGTTTCTTTTTCTTGGCGAAAGGAATTACTTTGTCAAGATTTTTATATGGTACACAAACCCTGGTAAGTATATTAATTAAAATAACTTATATGACACAAGATTTATAAAAATAATGCCGATTTAGAAAACATTTTTTTTTTAATTAAATACTGCCCGAGTTCCTTCCAACCAACAACAACATCGACCCCTGCAAAAGTCTTATTTAAAACACTGCCACCACCAGGATTACCTAGCACCTAAAATAAATACTAAAATCAAAGTTAGCATTATGATATTGGGAAATAAACGACTTAGAGGATACATGACCTAACACTACCTAAGCTAACTTAAAATAGTGGGTCCATGATGTGTAAAATAATATGTAATGCCTTTGAGAAGTTTAATAATAAGATTAATGTAATTTCATGCCTATTGTGTTGTGTCATTGGAAGAGAGAATTTTAATCTAGCTTAAATTTCTGTAATGTTTCATTCATTCGGATAATAATAATAATAATAATAATAATAATAATAATAAGCAGGCTCTTAGTCGTGGTAGCAGAAGTATACATAAATATACGTGACGTAAAGAGTGAGAATTGAGTTACTGTTGTCATAAGATACATAAACACAAAAAAATTCAACAGTAACTATAAACTAATATTCCCTCAATTACAATAAACTAATGTGTTTTTGTTCAACTCTTATGTAATCAACACAAAGACTCAAGCTATTCCTTCACGCCAAAAGTTATTAAAAATGTTGTCATAACCCGTAATTATTCCGAGTTACTATTTATCATTTTAGAAAACTTTGTTCTCTTAAATATCTTCCTACTTTAGCATGTCCATTTATCTCTTCAATGAAACAAATTAACGGTAATAATAATAAAAAATATTCACATTACTGGTGATAAGAAACAAATAAATAAGGATGCAGAAATAAGCGACATGGCCAATACTGCCATAGGGTAGTAGAAGCTCCGCCCAATTGATGACGTTGCTTATATACATTGAACCATTGGTATTCTTATTTCTTACAATCGTTAACCAATGCTCCCTGAATAGCGACTCAATCAATTACATTTTGAAAATCCCACACAGTTTTTTATTCCAGGGACCCACAACGCTATGTAGCCTAAGACGCGGTGTATATATAGTGTAATTCATACCCAAAAGATGATCAACTGGCATGAGTAAGGGATCGTGACGTCATGAACCTGAGATGGGTAAGAGCGACCATTATGGAGCTGGAACAAAATATTCTAGCGACATGTGGCAGCTGGGTCAATGTTTGTTAAGATCACCAAGAGATGGCGATGATACGGGTAAGGAATAATTTTACGTTTCGCATATGAATTACTAATATATCACCAGAGTTCTGATTAATAGCCCCTTTGAGTACACTGTCATCATAAGCAAAGGGATAGGCCATCATATTTCATGTACGGACTCACACTGTAATTGTTAGTTGTATTTAGTCTGTCATACCCAACGCATTAGCTGCAAGCCATTAAACATCATTCATAAATACATCGACCTGTTTTGGTCTAGACTTATTACTATATATTAAGGTACCCTAAAATCCCACATAATCTCGACTGGAAATGAACTTTTAACCATTTTCAGGAGTTATTCATGGTTAACTCAATATATTATTTACCATTGTTTATATAATTCCACTTTCTACATAAATACTGAACCAATTTTAATAAGTACGATGATATTACTTATCTAAATACATAATCTTAACTCATGTCTACTCCAGATACTTAAAATTAAACAAGTTATCCCAAAAATCTTCCCCGTTTTCTGTATTAAAGTTAAATAAGTGATCAATGAAAATACAGGAACTGAAAACCTGACCTACTGAGACACTCTTCCTTACTAATATTTAATCGTCTGGCAGTGTTTGGGCTTCCTCGAGTGGACTGGACGCCTATACAGTCACCCATCCGACCAGTTAGTTTTGTTTGAGTACAGTTCCTCAGCAGACAGACAGATAAGCAGACCAAGATGTTCACGTTAAGGAGTTTCATAAGATTACCTGCGATTGTTTCCACACGGCCAATTTCCTCGGTAAGACCCATAGTACCTGGTAATTTAGTTACCTGTAGTACACGCTTGCTACTCTACCTACACTTTATGATGCTATAATATGAAGTTCTGTTATTGTCTACGTTGTCTAGAGATTTAACATTTTATGAACAGAATTTGTTTTTTACGAAAGATTGGTAGGTGAGAATTGATCAGAATTACAATGTTTATACCAAGAGAAAATGTGTATTATGAACTGGTATAGGTGTATGTTCAGATGGTAATGTTTTATGAATGTTAATATACAATAGTACACAGTAACGTTAACATAGTGACAGTTCAGGCAAGGTGTTGTGTGTTAAATAGATCGATATTTTTTTCAGTAAAATCGTCATACGAGTTTGCGTTTAATCGGCATATATATATTAACATTACAGATATACAAAGTACTATACGTAAATAATACAGATATAAACAGTGCAGGTATACAAACAACGTATACACTAGAAGATGGTTAGTTACAAACAGTGGTAACCAAAGAGTACGTGGACTCGACCAAGGCTAGACCAGTCACCAGATGTAAAAGCCTTGGGATCACACGGCAGCCTTGGGAAGATATATAGTCATCATTATCTTATGGTCGCCTCGCACTACACACCAATACTAATACCGGGTTGTCTTATGACGTAGGGGTGACTCTTGATATCTGATTTCAGTACATCTTGTTGCCACCGTAATTATGATTCAGTACTTCAGTGTATGCATATATATATATATATATCTTGAATATGTTTTCCGGCATCTTACCCCCGCCCCCCCCCCCAGGCCCCGTTGTGCCCGGGTGGGCTATTCCCAGTAAAAAAAAATAAATAGGTATACATAATTGTGGAATAGTATACATAACTGCAGTAGTATACAATAATACAGCTAGTTTATCAAGGTTTATTGTGCACTAACACAAATTAGTTAAAATTCAGGAAAAATGATTCAACGAAGTGTACAAAAATTTTACTTCTGTACTAGTGTATGTTATGCATTAACAAATACTTATAAAATGTACTAAAAATGTTAATTAGTATTTAAAGTCTCATACTAAAACACCTGTTACTCACCCCTGGGTATTGGTACTCACAGAGTGTGGTCACATACGCCACGACACCACCACAGGACTCGCCAGGGCAGCAGAAGCAGGAGGAACCGGTCGAGGAATGGAAGCAGAAGGGCAGAATCAACGCCAAGAAATCCATGAAAGTGAACTTGGTGGGGGGGAAGCGGTACATGTGGTGTGCCTGTGGCTACAGCAAGAACCAGGTGAGGAAGTGATGTATTGGTAATGTATTCTGAAAAATAAAAGTTCTTACATGTTGTATTGATTTGCTTCAAGTATGTATAACAACATATTACTGTTGTATGGAGAATGGTAACGGTTTTATGTATTTATGTATTTCAGTAACAAGTCTTTTAAACACGCAAACCAATTCAGTTCATACACTACATGAGAATTATCAGTAATTAAGTTATGGAGTATATGTACAGTATATACAGTATGCTAAATAACATAAGGATAATTTTACCTTTGGTCAGCACCTTGAAAATCATGCTAAAATATTTTGTTTATTTAATATTTTATTGGATTAATTTAGTAAAATATAAATACCGTGTATGTCTCATGACCAAAAGCCCACATTTCGTTAATAAATATGTAGATATACCGGGTATATTTCATCAGAAAACTTGGTATACGAGTATCATCAGTATATAAATTAATATATCCTTGTGCGTTTGGTGTGAATAAAAAAATATATAACTATATGGATTCAGACCACTATGTTAGGAAATAAGTAATTTTAACAACTATCACCTCATATTACACAGCCGTCGTGAAGGAGTACTGTATGTCATTAGAACCACAGGAATTACTGTATACAATGTATATAAAAAGTAATTATCTCATTCATATGACAGCCAAATATAACCAAGGTGTATCCCACAGCCCTTCTGTGACGGGACTCATCTCTGGAGCAGATTTCGTTTGAAGATCAAGCAACATCCAGTCTTCTTCAAGGCCCCTAAGGACGGCATAGTTGGCCTCTGCCTGTGCAAACAGACCAAGAAGCCTCCGTACTGTGATGGCACCCACCGCAGGAAAGAAATACAAGAGGCAGTCATCGTCGAGAATCCTTGAAAATGCAGAGGATTGTAATACTTAATTGTTGATGATTAGTGCATCCATTAATCTATAATATACGCTTAAAGGCCTTACTAGTTGTCGAAGCGCAGTAATATATTGTAACATCTCGATATCTTGGTGTACTCTCAACCAGTTCGTGCAATCATTCGAAAATTTCTGTAACACAAAGAAAATCTCACAATATCGTTGCATTTTTTTATCAGTGCCATACACAATTAATTTAGCGTAATTTGGTGAAAAATACAACTGTATTGAGCGAGTCATATCCTGCTTGTATTTTAACTGGGAATAATTATCGTAAATACAGTATAATTTGTAATGTGCCAAATTACCCTTAACATCTATAGAAGAACATTACGCCTTGAAATACCCAAATTAGGCTTCCTCATTAAGTTCTCTTCTTAGTACCAATTGTATTCCAGAGCTTGACTGTAGCATCAACTTGGTATATCTTATCATCTGCACTTTAAAACTAATTATTCATAGTCTACTGCCTTATAACTCACACTCAAATAAAAGTGGCGTTTCCTTTCATAATGAGATGGTGAATATATTGAGAAGGAAGTATGGGAAGTAAGTTACAAAATTGCTAAGGAATCCTACAGAGGAATTGGACTGTATCTAAAACATATCCAAGTAATGGCCTTGAGAATCGATCACTTTACTCTCAGAAGGATGATCCAAGTTTAATTTAAAATTTTAATGTGAAGATAAATTTTAAGGTTTATGTGTAACGTTATAACAATTTAAGTCATTTGTTTCAGTATTGGGGCAAAAATGGTTTTACCTACAGTACAGTATTGTTAAATTTAGCTTCATATGTCAAGTTTGTCGAACCTGCAGAAAATATTTTCCTTTTATTAAATTAAGATCTTATTACAGATTACGTATTCCTGTCTTGTTTCTGTACATTACATGAACAATATTTTCTTGGTTTTAGTTAGTGGAGATTTTTTTTCCACTCGTGGGTTCCTAATTATCTCATTTCCTTATTGAATTGTATTTCAATTTACACTTCTAAGTATAAAGAAGAATTTAAGCTCAGGTTCAATCAGAATTAAAAAGATACATACTGAGTATTAAATGTTATTAGGGTGTGTATGTATGGATGATTGATGTATATATTTCTCTTAATAAAGACATCAGTGTACTGTTGGCATCTTATTAACCAGACAGACTTGACCAACACTGGCTGAGGTACAGATATATTCAAGAGCCAGCACATTCACCATTATTTACCAACAGAGATAAAACCAGACATTTCTTCACTATTTCAAATATTTTATGCACAAGACTTTACATTAAAAAAGGATAATATAAAAGAGTTAACGTACGAGAATAGGTCAGTGCAGAAAGATATTATAAGGAAACAGTTTTTATAAATGGTATAAATATTAGACGTAGTAAAGTTTATGTTCAGAATTAAAAAAAAAAATATCCATAAAACCTACAGGTATTTAATTTTAGTTTTTATTTCCCGTTTTCTCTGACACAACAACAACAGCAAAGATGGCAGCCTCCAGGACCCTCACCAGACTACCGGGATTATTTCTTCAATCAAGGACCTTATATACTGTTAGGATTATATCTGTTTTATAATATATGTTTTTTTATTAATTATGAGGATTATTTAGAAAGGAATAATTTATAGAGATTAGAGTGATTAATGGCGTCTTTAACTCTTTATTATACTCTCCAGCCCTTCTTGTCTACCTGTCTTTAGTCATTGTCATACTTTCACTTAATTTCCCTCCCCTAAACCAATCTCAGCCCCAGTATTTTCAATCCTAATCCTCGCCCCCTTCCCAGTACTTCCATACTTAATTCTTGCCTCAGTAGTAATCCTTATCCCTGGTCTCCCACACAGACAATAATTACTACCTCCAGGATATTAAAAAGAGGAGTAATTAAAATTGTCTTGCTCTTGTTTTTCCAATTTTGTCACCTTGAAGGTATATATACATCACTTATTATGAGCCAATCTAACACATATGTAGGTTCAGTTGGTTTGTTTAGGTGAAGGAAAATCTAAAGTGTGGATGTTATAGTTCCTTCAATTTTTTTATTTGTATAGTTATGTATGGTAGAGGTAAGAAATAGAATGATTTCATACTTTACTTATCATTTTCAAGATTGTTATTTAAGCCTTGTTGTTGCAGAGTGCCGTTACCCGTAGGAAAGCCATTAAACGTCCGGACATGGAACTGAACGAGAGGTTGTGGCAGCTGGAGTTTCATCAGAAGGAAAAAGGGAAAATATATGACAAGAAGCCATTTAAGATCACACTGAAGCAGGGCAAGAAGTACCTATGGTGTGCTTGTGGAAGCAGTAAATCACAGGTGAGATGAGTGAATTGTTGGTTAGGTTAGGTTAGACAAGGAAGTAGTTCAGAAGTCAGACTAACAAACTAGATGCAAGCTTACAAGTGCTGTAAAAGTGCTAAAAGCTAACCTAACAATATGACAATACTTAAGCTAGCAGTTCACCCCTCTTAAGGCTGGGGGTCAGGTGCCAAGTTGTGTAGTCTCACATATTTTCAGTAATTTTTGCAATATAAATTAAAACTAGATAAGTATCTGATTTGTCCATTCTTGTAATCAAATCCATATCACAGATGAAGACTTTGTTCAGTAGTCGACCTTCCCCTCATGTTCTAAAACATTTTGTCAGTGGACAATTCATTACTGGATCAGTATAATATATATATATATATATATATATATATATATATATATATATATATATATATATATATATATATATATATATATATATATATATATATATGCTGATAACCACAAGGAAAGAAGAAAACACGAAGTTCCCAAAGCGCTTTGTGTAAAGTCTGTACTCACCCTGAAGATGTGAATTACGAAAGCGCTTGGAACCGTGTTTTCTTCTTTCCTTGTGGTTATTATACCTGGATCACGCGCAACTACAGTGATTTACTTGCATATATATATATATATATATATATATATATATATATATATATATATATATATATATATATATATATATATATATATATATATATATATATATATATATATATATACTGTACTCTGTAATTTTTTTTCTTCAAATTTAGCTGTTACCCATAAATACTGTGTACTTTAGAATTTGGGTTGCATGGTATTGATGCGTGTAGTTGGGTTCCACAGTTAAAATCCGTGTACCTGGGGAGCACTGTACTGTACTAATGTCTGAATATCCCGAAACCGAGTCATAGATAGAGTTGGGTCAAATCGTGACATGCAGGCACCAGGTTGTTACTCGGTTGATGAAGAAGTTTGTGCTCATGCTGCAGAGGATGATGATGATATATTCAGTAAAATTGTCACACATGTTTACTATTGGATAAGTATGTTTATAAATTATATGGGAGACATCCTAAGAAGACTTGCACTGAGTAACAACATGGTGCCTGGTTGACCGAACTCTCTCTCCGTACGGCTCTGACCTGAAATGCTGAATTTTTATGCAGTTGAATATGAATACAGTACCCCATCCCTGTATAGATGTGACTGAATCACCAAATTTAAAACTATCCTACAGGAAAGTGGGAAGCATTACAGTATACATAGTGCTGTACTGTATAAAATGACATACTGTACTAAAAATATTCTTCCAGGCATCAGAATAGCAGCTAAAACAACTGCACCACATGAGAAGCACAACATAAAGCTGCCATTACTGTCAACCTCAGTCATGCTGCTTCATGGCATCTATAGAAGGCATACAATATTGTGTATTGAAAAGAATAGTTATAATTTTTCCAATCTGTTAGATGTGTGTTATGAGAATAGAGTTGTAACACATTTTGTATAACTTATATTAATGTTTCCTAATACATTTGTTTATATTTTGCAGCCTATGTGTGATGGGACTCACTTAAATACACAGCTGAAGATCAACCAGAAGCCCCTGGTATTTGTATCCCCGGAAACAAAGGAGGTGTGGTTGTGTAACTGTAAGCAGACTAGGAACCCTCCCTTCTGTGATGGCACGCACCGCACTCAGGATGTCCAATTAGCGATCAAGGATTAAGGATGTCTTGCAATAGTATCCTGTATCTCATTTATTCAGGTCTTGTAAGTAGAATTGTTCAAGTAATTTATTCAGAAAAAACACAGGTACTGTAATGTTCTCCAGGTGTTCATATAAATTAGCTGAGTCGATCTGCTATTATTTATTGACTTTAATATTTGAATATGTACTGTAATGTTTATTGTAATACCATAATGTATAAAAAATATATTGTAAATTGGAATCAAGGAACATATGGCACTATATCAATACTTGGATGAATACAATTTTTCTTTTTTAATTCAATATGTTCACGTGTAGGACACAAGCAATGTACAGTATAAAAAGAATGAGAGGAAAAATGTGTTAATATGGAACAGTTTATGTATAGTGTACACAGCAGTGTTAAATAGGTTGCCTTCATTTATTTTTCTTCAGTAAAAGTGGGAAGATGAAATAGATTCCTCAGGTTCAACCCTCTGTCTTTATGTTCTTCCATACATTGATATAAGTTTTGTTTCCCAGACACCACTAACAAATATCATGATGTAGGTTTGTAAACAAATTGATATAGAATAAAAAATATGAATTTTGCTTAAAAATAAAACAAATTTTGTTATTACATCCAAAGCAGGAGAAGGGTGTTCATAAAGTCTTGGAACAGTTTTAACATGTCCCCATAGGAAAAAGTCCAATGGGGACAAATTCGATGAGCGAGCTGGCCAAGCGATTGGCCCACCTCTTCCGATCCATCTATCCGGGAAAACTTCATTTAAAAACTGTCGAACACAAGGAGCAAAGATGCAAGGTGCACCATCTTGCTGAAAAACTGCATTGGCTGTAAGTCCTAATGGCCTCAGTTAAGGAATAAAGTAATTCTGTAGCATTTCCAAATAACTCTCTCTGTTAACATCTGTTCCTTCAAAAAAGAAAGGGTTAATTATGTATGTTTTTCCTAGCACACATCAGACGTTGACCTTAGGGTAATCCCTTCATGTTCCCAAACTTCTTGTGGTTTCTCTGACCCCCAAATAAGGCAATTACGTCGGTTGACCTTACCACTAATGTGAAATGTTGCTTCATCACGAAACATTAAATTGTCAAGAAATGGGACGTTATTTTCAACTTCATTAAAATTGTGACAGAAAGCTAATCTTGCATGGTAGAGCTCTTCCAACAACATTTGGTGGACTTGAATCTTGTAAGGTCACTAATTCAATTTCACTTTGAAACTTTTGATCACAGTTGTTTTAGGAACATCTCGTTTCAGAGAAGCCCGTCTTAGTGATTTTCGTGGACTGTTAGAAAGGCTTGCTCTACAGACCCCACAGTCTCCTCGTTTACTCCCGGTCTTCCAGTTCGTGGCTTGTCATTAACGGAGTCCGTCTCTAAACTTCTTCATCCATCTTGTAATTGAATTTCTGTGCGTTGCTTCCTTCTTGTAATGAGTCGTAAATTTTCTTCTAACTGCTGTTACAGACTTTAACTTGGCTAACCAGAGGACAATTCACCTTCTCTATTAAAGCCATTCAGTATAGTATTGGGGCAGATTAGCTGGAAAAACAGGAAGAAAAAATTTGAATACAGTACTGTACTGTATATAAATTTCTTTGTTCTTAAAAAAAATATTAAATTAACTCCCCAATGCATTTTATAGATTGTTTTTATCTCCTATAGAACCTAAGTAATTAATATTTTAAACTGCACCAGGACTTTACGGACACCCTGTATATTAGAGTATTACTGTACTGCATTAAGGTTGATACTAACTAATTTCCCTCTCATGTACTTGAAATACAAATCCCAAAGACAGCATTGTACAGTAAAGGTGTGTGTCTGCCATGTTGACATTTTCATCACTTAATATAGTAGTATTGAATTAGAAATGTTAAGAAGTTGTCTTATGTTTTGTTGCTCCAAGACCAATAGATCTTCAATTGTTTCATTGAAAGTAAAATTTATTACTTAGCATCAACAATTAGAATTCCTGAGTTTATTAATGCGGTGACGCCAGATGTGAATATTTGTGTACAGTATCTAGTTGTTTTATTCTTGTAATTGTTGTAAATAATTGCTGTTTGTAAATAAACATTTTTATAATTACATTTTCATTTTTTATTTGCTGTCTCTTAGAATACAGTACAGTAAGTCCCAGTTGATCCTTAACCCTCTGAACAAATCCCCAATATAACAAAAGCAAGTTTTTACTACCCATTTGTCGATTAACGAAAGAAGGTTCTGTTACGATAGGTAAATTACCCCCACCTTTCTGCTTCCTCACCACCATGACCACCTAAATCATAATTTCAACTCCCACCCACTGTGAGATCACTTCTTTAAAGAAACAAGTTTGTTGGATGATTAATAATGGAAAGATTATAATAATTATTGCAATGTATAAGATTACATTATCTGTTCTTTTAATGTAGTAAAGTGTTCATGTCTAAATGAACTATTTCATTGATGTAAAAATAATTATTTTATTGTTATAACATTATAACTTTCTGTAAGCCCCAGAAGGGGATGGCAAAGGTGAGGGTGGGAGTAGTATACTACCCTGTCCTTTTGATGTGATATTTGTTTATTGTCAATAAAATATTTCGATTTCAATAAACCACTCACGTCTCAGTCATAACGACAATGCCAAGTTATTCAGGGAAATTAAGAACCAAATGGACTGTGTAGAGCTACAGAAAGATATCTGTCAGCTTCAAAAGTGGTATATGGAATGGCTTTTAATATTCATTGTCAATCCAAGAGGATGCATGTATTCGAACCAACAGTAAGGAGGTATATCACAAATGTCCCAACAGGACGAAGAAACAGCATTAACGGAGACTAAATGTGAAAAGGGCCGGGGTGTGTATGTTGACAACGAACTGAAGTTCTGGAACCACTATGAGAAGAAGGTGAATCAAGCATCTAAGCTAGAAGAGGCTCATATACCTTAAGATCATCTCTCATGAGGCTCTTCAACGGTGAGGTGCTTCCCTGTTTAGAGTATTGTGTTGTCATCTGTCTGGTTCTTGAGATATGCTAGAGACTTGTCAGTTGAATGAAAACTTCCAAAGGAGGGCCACCAGACTGGTGCCTGCACTGCGTCACCTCAGTTCTATAGGCGGGCAAGGGGTGACTTAATAGAAATTTATAAACACCTCTGACGACATTACTCAGTCGAGTGCTCATAGCTGGAGCTGATGGATGCCTGTCCCAACTTAAGGTTGAAGAAGCCACAAGTTCAGAAAATTGCCAGGGCAAACTTCTTTGGGGTGAGGGTTGTGAACTTTTGGAACAATGTGCCAGGGAACATTGTGACGGCACCGAGTGGGCTCCCTCAAGACCAGACTTGACCAACACGGAGCAGGTACAGATACATTCTGGAGCCAGTACTTGCCAATAGTGCGTAATAGAGATGCGACTGACCGCCCAAGCAGTTGCAAATTTAACATATTTAAATAGTAAAGTTACTCTATGTGACTGAGATCCTTAGCCAGTTTGTAAAGGAAAACCTTTGTACGAAGATTGAACAAAATCTGTGCTTTGACCTCACAAGCTTAACCCCTAGATAACAGGCCAGGCATCTCTTGTGCAAGTCTTTTTTTCTGAGTGAGGAGGGTAATGGGTGGGTGAGGAGGGTGATGGGTGGGTGAGGAGGGTGGTGGGTGGGTGAGGAGGGTGGTGGGTGGTTCAATTGAATTGAAACAGCTTATTTAGCCAGAAAACCACAGATACAGAGTGGATAATAATAACAATATTAACATGGCTGAGCCAGTTGAGAACCTGAGCCTTATTTTAGGCACCTGATATATACGATACATTTAACTCAAGGAGATATTATGTAACATTTAGTATCATCTGGAATAGTATAATAGCATGGTGGTAATAAGAACATCTCATAATGTTACCACGGTTATCACTTCAACATTTATTCATTTTATTTATTAGTTTTTTAGTTTATTTTGTTGTATATTATAAGTATATACTGTACATAAATTACAGTTTAATTGAAAAACATAAGTATAATGGGGGAGCAGTACAACATGGTTTGTACAGTAATAAGGTTGAACAAGAGGACAGAGCTGTCAGGATTATGTCTAGTTGGCAATTATATTTATTGCAATGGTAATTTCTTATCTGTATTTACATGATAATTTCCGATAAAACGGTTTTGATGGTACAATAAAAGCAGGTACTGTAAATATAGTAGGTGTTACAAGAAATATTAATACTTAGACAATAGATATTTTTTATGAGATGATTTAAAGGAAGAGAGTGTAGTCTTTGCTGGGATGGCTGGGGGTAAGTTGTTCCACACCACACCGTGATATTTTATGGAGGTCTGGGACTGAGAGGAGAGCATGGGGGGTGGTCTAGAAATGATTATTGTCAAGCAAGTGATTGATAGATTTGTAAACAAAGAGGGCACAGCAGTAGGTGTTAATATCTTCGAATGTTAACATTTTCAATTTAGCAAACTTTTCGTTTGTGTGATCTGTTTTTTTTTTCAAGTAGGTCATTGTCCGTACAACTCTCTTTTGTGCAGTACCAGAGATTGTGTTTTTGAAGAGCCAGAGGCCCCCATAGTGTGTGACAGTGTATCAGGTGTTGGTAGATAAGATCATGATAGATTTCTTTCATTGCTGTGAGAGTGAGTGACTGTCGAGTGTGATACATGATACCGCACTGTTTATTGACTTTACTGTGAATGGCTTGTATGTGGTGCAGGTAGTTTGAAGGGTGGTGGGGGTGGGAGGGTGGTGGGGGTCCAGGGTGGTGGGGGTCAGGAGGGGTGGTGGGGGGTCAGGGAGGGTGGTGGGTAGTTAGGCGGGTGGTGGTTGGTGGTTAGGAGGTGGTGGGGGTCAGGAGATTGTTGGGTGGTTTAGAGGAGGAGGGGTGGTGGAGGGTCAGGAGGGTGGTGGGTAGTTAGGAGGGTGGTGAGTGAGGCGGGTGATGGGTGGGTGAGGAGGGTGGTGAATGGGGGAGGAGGAGGGTTTATGGAGAGGTGGGTGGCATGCCAGGATGGGCGGCCACGTACAGAGAGCCACACTTGGGTGAGGTTGGTAAGGGGTGGGCGGAGGTGGGTCTGGAGGGTGGAGGGGTGGGTGGCATGCCAGGATGGGCGGGCAGGTACACAGAGCCACAGTTCGGTGGGTCGCCGCCTGCCAACCACCACTTAGTGCTGTAGGTGCGTGCCCATGAAGTGTTAACCGTGGCTATCTTAGCTATACCGTGGCTATAACAAGGCTCTAGTGGCTATATACCGTGGCTATACTGTGACTAACTATACTGTTATTATATTGAGACTGTGGCTATACCGTGGCTCTACCTTGGCGATACTGTCACTAACTGTGGCTCTACCTTGGCGATACTGTCACTAACTGTGGCTATACCGTGGCTCTACCATGGCGAGACTGTGATTATACTGTGGCTAAAATACATCAATATCATGCAATACTGGATACGGTAGTAGTGTATTGAAAGGAAATGTCTATAGTGAACACAGAGGAACTATAGTGATATATGAAAGATACATTATAGTGTATATAGAGATATAAACAGGAAGACAATAAGAGAAAGAGTTGATAAATATACACAAACAAAGAAAATACGAAAGAACGAAGATATAAATTAAATAAACAATGCAAGAATGATTAAAATTAGTAGGATTTAAGAAACTACTGCAAAGTGATGATAGTAATAATAATAAATAGTAGTAGTAGTAGTAGTAGTAGTAGTATTTCTAGATGAGGGAGATAATATTGAAGTCATATTAAGTGTGTGGAGTTATGGGGGGGCAGGTTGAAGTAAACACCCCTCAGCATTTTTCCTTTCCGTATTTTTGTTTTCTTTTTGTTTTGCTTCTACACTACTACAAAAAACGTACATTATTTTATTTTTAGAGTGGGGGTTGTGGGGGAATTGTAGTGGGAGAAATGGCGGCCTTTGTATGTCCTGTCTGTCTGTCTGTCTGTCTGTCTCTCTGTCTACGCCTGTCTGTGTATCTCACTGGCACCCACCTGGCACTCGACACACCTGGCACTCAACACACCTGTCACTTAACACACCTGGCACTAAACACACCTGGCAATCAATACACCTGGCACTAAACACACCTGACACTCAACACACCTGGCACTCAACACACCTGGCGCTCAACACACCTGTCACTTAAAACACCTGTCACTAAACACACCTGGCACTAAACACACCTGGCACTCAACACACCTGGCACTCAACACATCTGGCACTCAACACAACTGGCACTCAACACACCTGGCACGCAACACATCTGACTCACCATCACCCTATTTATACCTGAATTTTGAGGTAATCACTAAACTTCACCTGTAAGCATCACCTCACCTCAAACCTTTAAAAAGCAATAAACTCATCAGCTCAGTTACCCGCAGTGGTCAGGGTACAGATCTACCTCAGCTCTGAAATACTCGGGGTTAAATTTCTAATGGACTTGTTGATAAAGTTTACATTCGTTTATTACCACGTTGTTTCCATAGAGCGAATTGTTTATTGTAGATGTTTATTGTTGCTATAAAGAATTAACAAGCTACAACATCGAAGTTCTTTAAAACACAGAAAACGGAAGCAAGATAACAGGCTGGGGAGGGAGGGGGGGGGGAGGGACTAGGTTATTATTCAACACTGATTTATTAATAACAAGTACACCAGGTTGTGAATCTGAGACAACAACAATCAAAACCACAACATCCATTACCACAATAACCACAATCACAAATTCCTTAACCACAAACACAACAACCAGAAAAACACACCAAAAATCACAGTAGAACAACAACCACAATCACAACAACAACCAAAACAATAACCACAACCACAATAACCACAACGGGTAAATAAGATCACACACACACACACACACACACACACACACACGAGACGGAGAAAGCGGAACATTAGAATTGTCACATAATTTTGAAGCCTCATTGGTTAACACAAAGACTTACACTCATATATCACCAGAAAGGAGGTTGAATGTGGGTTAACACTATCTTCTTAATGTTGATTATTAATGTTATTTATGTGTATTTCTGTACTTAAACAACCCGATACTCCCCCCTCCCTCCCC